CAACACCAACATTCAGGAGGCCGTGATCCAGAAATATACAGCGAACGGCAAAGATGTGGTGAGTTTCCTTCACAAAAACCTGAGCAACGAGACCTCCGAAAGATCTTTGAGAAGATGCGTGAAGATGTGGAGATGTTCGATAAAAAGACGTTTGTTTATACTTAAGCACTCTTGGCTTATACTGATAACTATACAGAAACATCCAAGAATATTTGGCCTACATTTGTACTATTAAATCCTTTTTTCCCCACACATAATGTCCGTTGTGTTCGAGTCAGACGTACGAGCTGAAGGTGGCCATTGAGGACGGATTCCTCGTCGTTCAGAAGAGCTTTGCTCAGTTTGAGATGCTCCACAAGCTCCTGCAGAAGCACTTCATCGAGTCCACGCTGCCAAAGTAAGAGTCCCGCTCATGATGTGCTATCACTGCAGGGCAGAGGAGAGCCGGACTGATCTGGTCTTTGTCCTGTTCTAGGTTCCCGAGCTGGTTTAACATGTCCTTTACACCGGGCCGGAAGATGTCTCTGCTGAACAAGTATCTGAAGGAGCTGTTTGAAGGACCCTGCAAAGGGGTGAGTGAGTGCCGCCTCTGTGCCGCTTCCCAGTACTTTACCTCGCACTTTCATTTATATTTCATCATGTCTCTAACAGAATGAATACGTCTGCAGCCTGTTTCTGGACGGACCAAACACTGCGGTCAAGTCAGGTAGACTCTTCCTGGACGACGATTGATGATGCATTTCACTGTTGTTTGCAGAGGACTCTTAATGGTTTTAATGGTTTACTGCAAGCTTGCATTCATAATAATAAAATGAAACGGTGCTCTTACTTTCAGTTTAAAGTTACTGGATAAATGTCGTTGCATGGCTTTGATTTGCTTCAGGGATTCATTCACATATTTTACTTCCAACCCTGTAGTTTTTTTCTTGTTTAAATTTGTCTGAAAATGTTTGTTTTGCATTTGTTCCAGAAACAGACGCTCATCTCCGACCGCAGATTCAGCTCTACCTGTCTTATAAAGACTATAAGTTATCTGTGATGATAAAGCATTTGAAAAATATCGTGAGTCTTTTTTTTCCCCAGCCCATTATTGTTTTTGATTTACTTTAAGCCTTTATATATAATGCATTATATGCATTAATTATGCCTTGTAAAATTGTAAAATCTAATGAATAACTGTAACCACAGTTATAATACTGATCTATTCACTGTTACACCTTATAATGCGTTAAAACACATGACAAACAAACCTTCAAATATTATAATGCATTTTAACTTTGTAATGACTTTTCATAAATAATTATAACCAATGTACATTATGAATACCTTTATAATGCATAGTACATAAAAGGCTTTAAGTAAAGCGTTACCGAAAATCATTTTGATGTCTTTTTATCCACTTAAAATTGCACTTTTGCCATTGGAAAAAAATAAGTTTTTGATTTTACGTGGGGTTGTATGATTTGAGGTTTGGCTTCCAAAATGTACGATTCTGTTCTGGAGTTATATTTGTTCACTTTTACTAATGTTTTGAGCTGCACGAGTGTAAACTCTTACTCTGTGTTTTGCTGTCTTGTGTGTGCTGTCGTTCAGAGGTTGTCTAACGGCTCGTGTCCGGACGCATATGTGGTCACACGACTAAGACCTGACCCGCAGGACAAGACCAAGAGGAAGACCAAAGTGGTCCGCAGCAATGACAATCCCACATTCAATGAACTGGTATGGGAAAGCCTTTCGGTTCTTTGAAATGCATTTGATGAGTAGTTCTGCTGTTACTGACGTGTGCGTCACATCTGAACATTAGTCTCCTCTCAGACCTGTGGCTTTCTCTTCAGATCGAGTACAGGAACGTGCACAACCTCCACGGACACGTGCTGGAGGTGACGGTGAAGAGCAGGAAGACTTTTGTAGCGGCTACAAACGTGGTTCTGGGAGAGAGAGTTCTGGACCAGGAGAAGTGGTTTCCTCTGGGCTTCTCGGCCGTTTAAAGCATTACTGAAGCACTCGAGTGAACATGAAGGCTGTTTCACAGAGCCATCAGCGATGCGCTTCTGATGGAGATCACGGAGTATGGAGGACAAATGTTGAGCAGTATTAATGGAGCTCATGAATGAAGAACGGTTTAGATGCCAGGCCTGGTTTCTCCTCCACGGTCACCTGACGGAGTTTGGGTTTCTCGTCTCGCTCAGCAGAGACATAAAAGCTGTCACGGTCCTACTCTCTGTAGAGCTGTACTTGAAGTTATATTTGAAACGACAGATGTCTAAAACTGAACTTGGTGACACTTACACTGGTTTTACTGTGAAGCAATTTTATTGTATGAAGTGCTATATTAATGAGACCAGAAAAATAGAAATGGGGTTTAAGATCTTTTTAGTTTTAAAATTCCATTGAGCAGTTTCTGAAATACGATGTAAGCATCCGCGTGAAGGTTTTTGGGACATGGTCTTTGACCTACAGATGAAGAGGAGTTAATGATATTGAGAAGTAATAATTATGCAGTTTAAGTTGATGTCCGAGCATCAAGCATCAGTCAGTCATTCCCTCGCCATTGTTTTGTGCATATGGATAAACATTCACTAAAATGAGTCTACTTTAGAACCATTAAACCAATAACAATAAATCTTCTTATCATCTCACTTGTAACTCTTCATGTGCAGGACTCACATGCTCAATAATGCAACCGCTGTCGCTTCAGGAGACACAAATGTGATTTCCAGCACCTTCACTCTCGCTGTTCTTCTGTTGAAATCAGCTGCAAACCTCCACCAATCTGCTGAGACCCTCACGACTGTCCAGAAGCTGAAGACCCACCTCTCACATGACGTTAACCAATCCACAAACCTAAACCACGACACACGGCGCCGCCGTTATAACACTGAAACTCCTACATTACAAAAAAAAATCACGAGCTCTTCTATAGTCTGGTGCTGCTCTGAATGTAAAACGGTGTGATTTGTTGATGTTCTGATCGGCTGGAGCTAAATCCACGAATGTGTCATGTGATGCAGAAGTGTACAGGAAGAGATTCACAAATGAACCTGTGACTCCACTTCTGTGTTTGTGTGAACGCATGTCATCATCATCATCATCATCATCAATGATATTCTGCTGCTTTCAGACAGTTTTCAAACTTGAGAACACAGTCACAGAAGAGGATTTTCTTCAAAAATGGAGACGTCTGTTTTGCAGCAGTACAGAAATTGTTTTATTTTTTCTTTATATATCCATGGCGTTTAAAAGTTTTAAACAGAAATATTTACAGGAGATTAAGGGGGAAATAAATTCCTTCTGCGTTTGATGTGGGTTGTGTTTCTCTTGTTTCCTGGCTGTCGGGGCACTTCTGAAGAACTTGGCACCTCAGTCAATAATAATGCATATCTGTGAGATCAGATCCGCGTGAGCTGGTGCCACAGACTCGAGGGAAGAATGCTCTCCACCTTCTCCATGATGAAGTTCAGCGGAGCGAACAGAGTGCTCAGGAACTGAAGGACGAGACAGAAACAAGTGAGATATCTGCAGTCTGAACACTACTCTCAGACAAGATAGCCTCCGTATTAAATTACATTCAATAATATCATCAAAAAACAAAAAAGTTGACTAGCTGCCTGTGCATTTTATAGCTAATTTTAATGTCTGAAAAACTATTTCACAGAAACACAAAAGAGGCAATATTCAAACTGTGCTTCAGATCCGGCTGATTATATTTCAGAGCGTCTCGATCAGCTGTAAGCATGGGGAAACATCGAATATTTGCCCAGTAACACAGCTCAGCCACTATAGAGCTGAACTTGGTCAAGATGAACCGTTCATGATTACATGAAGAATTGCCATTTCAAATACAAATATGTGACCCTGGAGCACAAAACCAGTCTTAAGAGTCTGGAGATTTATACAAACTCTGAAAGCTGAATAAATAAGCTTTCCATTGATGTATGGTTTGTTAGGATCGGACAATATTTGGCTGAGATACAACTATTTGAAAATCTGGAATCTGAGGGTGCAAAAAAATCTAAATATTGAGAAAATCATCTTTAAAGTTGTCCAAATGAAGTTCTTAGCAATGCATATTACTAATCAAACATTAAGTTTTGATATATTTACGGTAGGAAACTTACATAATATCTTCATGGAACATGATCTTTACTTAATATCCTAATGATTTTTGTCATAAAAGAGAAATGTATAATTGTGACCCATACAATGTATTGTTGGCTATTGCTACAGATATCCCCCAGCGACTTAACACCGCTTTTGTGCTGCAGGGACACAGATGAGCATGATGAGTTATCTGCGTATCGGTGTCATTCAAACGGTTCTTCATCAGCTGATGACACTGAATGTGTCTGTTGATGAAAAGGAAAACTCTTTAACGGTGGTGTGTTTGTCTGGAGTACTGAAGTGTGTGACACTCACGGCTTTAGCAAACACTCCCATGAGCTCTGGGAACTGATGCGTGAGGAGCGCCAGCATAGCTGTGAAGGAGCAGAGACCCGCCGTGAACAGGATGAAGAACGGCAGCTCCTTCTTGGGATACACTGACACCTCGTGGAACACTGCTTATATCACTGCAGTTATTCTGACCTTTACTTGATCAAAATCAGTCCAGATCTGACACGAGAAGCTCAAGCTGAAGCTGAACGTTTGTACAGTTACACTGAAAGGCCTAATGTACTCGTATAGTCCACTAACAGGCTCTGAGAGATTCCGCTGCAGACGACGTCAGACGTGACAGAAACACTACTCTTCATCTACAGGTGAAATGCAGGAAAATCTCTTACTTGGTAGCAGTTCTCTGTCCGCCGTCTCTGTACAGACAGGATACGGATAGAACAGGTGGCCTTTCTCCAGAGGATATGGAATCATTCTGAAAGCTGAGCAATCGACACAAAGGAGTGGTTTTTAAAATGCATTTCTAAGCTTCGGAGCAACAGTGAGTCACCAGCAGTTTTTCTGATGTTCACTTGAACACGTCGACATGTTTTATATTGAAAATAAATGTTTGCCTCTTAAAAGACATGAACTAAAGGCATTTATTCCTGATGAATTTTAAAACATTAACACTGTTATTTTCCTATTTATCACCGTGAAGCTGCTTAGAAACTGTCTGGTATGAAGCGCCAGATATAAAGGTGACTTGACTACAACAAATTGTTATTAATAAAACCTTACAGATTTCCAGATCATAATAATAATAATAATAATGCATTCTATTTATCAAACACAACAGCAATAGAATATAAAAGAGAGAGAGAAAAAATGAAGACAAACACAATCTTAAAAAGATTGCGTTTCTTAAATCTACCTAATGTGGGACATTCCTAACAGTTAAAGCAAGTGTATTCCACAGACTCTGTCACCCTGAGATTTGAATCTGCATGAAGGCTGAACTGCATAATGAATAACCACAGCTTGTAGCTACTGTAAATATATCCTATTTTAACGATCAAGCAGTTGAGATTTGCTATGATCTCCATGTGTGAACTACACTATTATCCAGCTCTGAAGACATCGGTGTGGACAACTGGGCTTTACGACATTATAACATCTGTACAGCTGCTTTGAAACAACGAGTATAAAGAGCTACACAACTAAACTGGCCTCTGGATCTGATCCGAGTTGAGCCAAAAGACAAAGCGTAATCCAAGAGACCTTTTTTTGATCATAACACCGTACTGACAAAAGGTGTACTCGCAGTGCAGAATAATCAATCAGACAGTGACGGTGTTAAATCTGAGGGGTCAGAGGTCACTCACTCCCCTCCCAGGTGCAGTGGAGCAGGTTGAGCGCGCCCTCCACACGCTTCCAGTGCTGCAGGTGGAAGAAGGTGTAGGCGATGGCTTCGCTGTCGCCGCGCTTCAGGATGTGCTCCGGAGGCAGAATCAAACTCTTCATCTCTAAGAGGTACTGCGGAGAGAACGAGGCAGGTTAGTTACGGCTGAGGAGGAGGAGGAGGAGGATGATGAAGATGAGGAGGCTCACTTTCGGTACGTGTGGATTGAACTCCACCGCTCTGTGTATGGCTTCTACTGCGTTCATTTCTGCTGTGCTCAAACCTCTGCGTGACGCCGCCTCTGGAGAAAACCTGCAGACGCACACAAACCCCCCCAGACTGAGGTGAGACTGTTGAATGATGACAGCACGGACACACTTTACAGCAGAACTAACGTGATTTGAGGGACTCGGGACTCGTGCTGTCTAGAACTGACAGTGATGACAGAATATCCAGTCAGAGGTGAACTGGCCCTTTAAGCACAGTTTGTCTCTGTATGTGTGCACTGTTAGGCTCGTCTGGGTTAGGGGAAAAAAGAGAAAGCTGGGGAACACTTTATTTTTTTGAGTAAGTCAGTAGAATGTCCATTAAAATCAAGTGTGAGCAGATATTAAGCAGACGGTCACTGAGACTCTAACGACTGCTCGCTGACGTGGAGTGTCTTACAGTCAGTGGAATGACTAAAGTGGACTCAAAATAAAGCTGGTGCAAAGCTAGTGGATTTCTGCTTGCATGTGAAAGTCACCTCTTCCTAACCTACACAGCATTAATTTATTTTGCAATTAAAATAGCATTTTCCATCAGCACATGCGTTAATAATGTGAATGTGTTGATGGAGACTCACTTATCCGACACGGCTCTGGCCTTCAGCAGCGCCGCTGTGTAGCAGATGGTTGCAGACTTTGGCAAACTGATGTCTGTGGACGAGAACAAACCGTTTCACATCACGACTCACAGGTCAGATAATGCTGAAGTACATACTCCATATCTGTAAGATAATTCATATTATACAGCAAAAGTGTCTGCCGACAGGAGTCCTGTGAGCGCTTCAGAGACGCTTCTTCAGCTCAAGCGAGGGCTGTGACGGGCCACAAATAACACACAGTGTACAAATTAAAATGTATGCTTTTAATGTCATTCAGACTTTGTGCTGTTTTAAAATGAATGCACTTTCACAGTACTTGAACATGGACAGCAGTGGAGATTTCTGAAGGAAGCCAAGTTAAGTTAAATTTCCCCACAAAGAAAATGTTTCATCATAGATGAGCAGGACATATCATATCTTCCTATTTTCTCTCAGTATTGCAAAGCAGCTGACACTGGTTGTAAATGTCAGGAAAGCAAACGATATCTTCCGCATGAGTAAGGCATTTCTATTGGATGCTGTGCTGCCGGAGAAAAAGAAACTGAACTACCGGTGCGTGAGAATGAGCTAATACAGAGCTACACATGACATGCAGAAATAAATAAATATTAGAAAACAGATGTTACGAATCCTTTCCCATGACATTCATTTGCAGGCATGTTTCATTCATTTGTTTCCATGTTTTAGTTCAGTGGTGGCCAGCACTTCTGTTCTGGTTGTGTTGTTTGTCAATGTGACCCGAGTACTCTTCAAACCTACTGCCCAGGTTAGAGCATGTGTGAGGGTGTGAGAGTGTGTGTGTGAGGGTGTGAGAGTGTGTGTGTGTGTGTGTGAGGGTGTGAGTGTGTGTGTGTGTGTGTGA